CCCTGCACAGGCCCGCGATCTCCCCTCAGGCTGCCGGGCAGCAATGCTTCCTCGCCGTGTGGCCCCAAACGACAAGACGGCTCAAACTCAAACCAAACCCACGGCCACGGAGCTGGTTCAGTCTCACAGTGACCCTACAGGACAGGGTAGATAGAACTTGCCCTGTGGGTTTCTGAGGCCGCAACTTTTTACAGGACTGGAGTGCCTCTGTTTTTTGTTTTCTGCAGCGCTGGTGACTTTGAACTGCTGGCCTGGTGGTTAGCAGCCCAATGGGGAGCCCACTACGCCACCAGGGTTCCTTGCCAAGGTTGCTCAGACAAACACACTCCCTGCCATTGAGACCATTCTCACAAGGACCCCCCCACGGGACAGGGTAGAACTGCCCCTGAGGGTCCCCAAGACTAACTCTCTCAAGGCTAGAAAGCCCCCTCTCTCCCCAGACAGACGCGAAGGCCAGGAGGATCAGAGTCACAGCTGGTGGACCAGGCTGTGGCATGAAGGTGTCCCCCCTTCGAACCCGGCCTTCCTCTTGTCTTGGCCTGTCCTCCTCCGAGTGCAGGAGGGTTCTGCTCCTTCCCAAACCCTGCCTGGAAGACAGGAAGCACCCAGCACCCAGCCCAATGAGTAATAATCCCCCACAGCCAGGAGGATACAGTAGGCTCCGCCCCCGCGCACAGCTCCATTGGTGGCGATGGCACACACAGAGAGGACCGTGAGTGCCAGGATGAAGTAGGCAACCAGGAGCATGGCCAGGGCCTGCAGCAGCCCCGCATGGCCCACCACGAACCCTGCAGGGAGAGGCACAGAGGGTCACACCCGCCACAGCCACACCTCACCCTCGACCTTAGCCGGCCTAAGCTCCAAAGCTAAACCCCAGGCCACAGGAAGCACCCCTGCCCCAAGCCCTCTATCTACCCACTGCCCCAACCCCATCCCAGTTCCACCACCCCTCCCTCCTTCTCTCCCTCCCCCTCACCATCCCTCCCCTCCCACCCCAGCCCACCGCCCACCATCCACTCACCGATCCTCATGAAGACCACGATACTGAACATGGACAGGACCGTGGGTACCACCACACCCAGGAAGGTGGAGAGCTTCTGGGCAGACGGCCCCCCAGGACCCCCTGCCCCATTAGCAGGGAAGGCGACCCCCTCCTCCCCCAGGAGCCGATAGGCTAGCAGAGGGGAATTCTCGCTGGCCATGGCCCGGAGCAGGTCCAGGAAGCCACAGACCGGTCAGAAAGCCTGCAAAAGAGAGTCTGTGAGCGAAAACAGCTGGAGATACCTGGAAGCCTCCCCCGAGAGCAGGGCTACAGGGAGACACACACACACACACACACACACACACACACACACACACACAGGCACTTACCAGCAACCCCAGAGAGGTAGTGGTCCCAGCCTCAGCCCTCCCCAGGGTGGACTCAAAGCCCCTGGGCACGTGGCTCCCCAGGCCCCTCCCTGTGTCCCGGGCTGAGGGTTAGCAGTATCTCTGGGAGGAGGGCAAAGATCCTCTGGCAGAAAAGGTGTCTCCAGTCCTCCCTCCCGAAGCTGCAGTCTGAGAGGAAGCAGAGCGCATAAAGGGGAAGTGAGTTATGGGCAGGCACGCTCCTCAGCCCCCTCTCCTGGAACCTGGGCCACCGGTGTCCACCCACAACCCCGTACACACCCCCCACCCCTGCCCGCCCCGGCAAACACCTCTCCATGGGCAATAAAAAGCACCCAAAGCTCCCCAAGCACCAACCTGCTTCAACGTGTGCCCTCAACCTCCCACTCTCATGCCATCCAGTCAATAGCATGCCAATTCACAGGGACCCACAGGTCAGGGTGGAACTGCCCCTGAGAGCTTCCCAGACTACTACAGGAGTAGAAAGCCCTGATTTTTCTCCCGTGGAGCGGCTAGTGGTTTTGAGGTACTGACCTTGCAGTTAGCAGCCTAAGGCGTAACCACGAAGCCACAAGGGCTTCCAACCTGCCCCTGTTCCCCTTTCCCCTTAACGGCATTTAATACGGTTAAAAATAAAACAAAACAAAACTCACTGCCACCGAGCTGATTCCAACTCGCAGTGAGTCCGGGCAGAGTAGAACTGCCCCTGTGGGTTTCCAAAGCTATGAATCTTTTCAGGTACAGAAAGTCTCGTCCATCTCCCACGGAGCAGCCCAGTGAGAAACCCACTGTGCCACCAGGGCCATCAACAATGGTGATGGCTGAGCGCCTGGTGGGAGCCCCCGTGTCAGTCCAGCTCCTTGGGTTTACCCTACTTTGCCAAGCAGGATGTCCTTTTCCAGGGACTGGTCCCTGTCGACAGCATGCCCTCAATTGTCACCTTCATTTCTAAGGAGCATCTTTCTCCCAAGCCGGTTCATCTGTTCTCCTGGCGGTCCTCTCCCGCCAGCACCGTAATTCACCTGCATCAATTCTCCGGGCTCCCTTCCTCATTGTCCAGCGGTCGCATTCCTCTCCTCAGCCCCACCAAATTCCTGCCATCCACGCGAGGCGCCCCTAAAACTCAGCTACCAATCCAAACACACCCCTCAGGGAGCACAACAAAAACACAGGCCGGCTGGCATCACTCAAATGCTCCGCCGCCCCTCCCTGCCCACTTTCTCCCAGAGCGGGTCGGAGGGTGCCCAGAGCACCGTCTCCCCGAACAGGCGCCCGGCACGCACAGCTCGGGGGTCCACTCACCCAGCCTCGGAGACGCAGCG